TTATTATTATTATTATTATTATTATTATTATTATTATTATTATTATATTGTCTTCAAGCATGAATCTTTTGATACCAACATATTGCCAGTGCTGAGAGGTCACTTTGTGGAAGATGGAGAGCTAGGGTTTTAGGGTGAGCACGTCTTCTTCTAGAGAGTGATCAGATGCAAACATATGGGGAGGAGAAGGTAGGATTTACTCAATCCAGCTACACTAGTTCCCATCTTTCAAAGGCGGCTGTGTGCTGCATTGAAGAGCAAAAACATCCTCATTTAGAATTATTAGTATTGCTTTAATGCCCCCCACTGGGGAGGGGGATCCCCAGTGAAAGGGCCTAATGTGGCTCACAGAATTTCTCCTGTCAGGATAAACCTTTATTGAAGGCCCACCTACCCAGAAAGGAGACTGGGATTAGACAGGGACCTCTGTACAGCCAGCTTCACTGGCTCCTCCTTTCTTAATGTTGGAAAGGCAAGAAGAGACTAAAGCAGACCCCAGATTAGGACTTGGTTAGCTCTCTTCATCAGCTGCTTCAATCATTCCTCGCCTCCCCTATACACACAGTCCCTGCTGGTGTTCACTCTTGGAGTTAGTGATGCCAAAAAGTGTGTCTATGCCATTTGATACTGCACAGCATTCTGGTTTTATTTATTTTGTATCAAAAGCATTGCATAAATAAGTATAAAACTTATAAAATAGAGGGAGCACAAGCAGCTAAGTATGTTTTGACCAGAAACAGGCAATAGCAACCGTGTTGTCTGTAGCTTTAAACAATTATTCCTCTGTGCATTAAGCAGGGCATTGTGGACAAGCATACAGATGCAGAGTTGTTTGTTCTTCTCCACAGTCACACAGGTGTGGGATTCTTCTAGGCCATGCCATTTAGCCAGGTTGTCTTTGGATCTGCCCACTTCACTTCTGAGTCTGTTCAGGGACTTCCAAGTTGCCCATTCTTGATTTGCACCTCGAGGAAGACCCTCGGGCGGGGGGTGGGGGTGGGGGGTGTCATTCAGTTGGAATTGCCTGATTTTTCTGCCCAAGGGAATACCCTTTCTGTTGGTGGTAGGACATTAAGAGGAGCGGTGGTTCTCATGAAGTTTTTCCTTGATTTGAGTCTGCTGGGAGAAGGCTGAGAGCCATGCAGTGGGTGGCTTTCACAGTGTTCAACCTTATTTCTGTCACAGTTTGCAGCAACCTCCCTTCACACATGGGGGGGGGGCAGTGTCAGCTAGCTTATAGTCTTATCAACAGGTGTAGGTTTAAGACATCCTGTCATTATTCTGCATGTTTTGTTCAGTGCTATGTTCACCTGCTTCGCGTGGACAGACTTTCTAACAAACAGGGCAGGCATGCTCGACAGTTGAGTAAGACAAGGCCAGGGCTGATGTTCTTATTGATTTTGAGTCTGCACCCCATGTGCTGCCAATACGTTTCTGCAGGATATTATTGCGTACAGCTACTTTGTACTTGGTGTTCATACAGTGTTTCCTTCTTCTGATGCCCTTGGATTAAATACAATTTCTTTTTCATCCTTTGCAGCTTCCTTTTGCATTAATCCCAGTCCTCACATTCACCAGTCTGCGTCCTGTAATGAATGACTTCGCTAATGGCTTGTAAGTATGAAGAACAGCATATATCTCCCTTATTGAGTGATTAAAGAGTCGGGAATATATAAAATTGCACTTCTTGGAAGGCATTTCTTAAAGGGCTGGAATCTTGTTATCATTTGGCCAAGTGCCTTATAAGCTGGTTGTCTTTCCCATTCTTACCACAATACTTATAATCGTATACACCTTAAGGATGTAATTTTCCTCTGTGGCACAAAGTTTTTTTGTGATAGAAAACATAATATACAAACATGGAGATGACTATATTTATTATGTGGTCACAGACAATTACAACAAAGGATATCCATCATGTAAAAACTAATACAGAGAATTAATACTATATTAGATACAGAGGAAGCAACGATTTATTAGTTTATATAAGGTCATAAGATAGAACAAAAACAGTATAATTGAAAAAGATAAAAATGTGTCTAAATAATTTTATAAATCTGAGCATCAGAGAAAATGAATTTTGCTACAATTTATTAGCGTCTAGTAATAAATAAATCAAGCACTAATCAATTGATCTTTCTAGAGAATTTATTTAATTCTAGCTTAGGTATCTGGCGATGCCTAGGATAGGCCTTTTGTTATCTATTTATATGAAATAGCCATTGCATGCTTTTGTTCTTATGAATGCTTCTTTTAGAAATTCATAACTACTACTCCCAACATTACCAGTGCATTTCCCCCCAAATCTGCCAGCATTCGAAGTTGGTCACAATATATAAGTTGGTCAAAAAATAAAACATAAAGATTATTATTATTATTATTATTATTATTATTATTATTATTATTATTATGTTGAGTTGAGTATGTGAGCCAAGTTTTGTCCAGATCCATTGTTGGTTAGGTTCAGAGTGCTCTTTAAGATGTGGGGGAACTATAACTCCCAAAGTCCCCTTCAACCCCACCACCATTTTATGTTGGATATATTGATTATGTTTGTCAAGTTTGGTCGATATCCATGGCTACTTGGGTTCAGAGGGCTCACTGGATGTGGGTAATTCTCTCCAAAATCCGCCATTACTTAAGATTGCCATGTTAAATTGTGTGCCAAATTTGGTCGAGATGTGTTGGTGGTGGAAGTCACGGGATTCTCTGGATACAGCGTGAATGATAACTCCCAGTATCCAGGGTCAATTTCCCCCCTCCCCCAACCCCTTCAGTATTTTCTGTTGGCCATCCAGGAAGGGGTGGGTCTGTGTGCCAAATCTGATCCAGATCCATCATTGGTGGAAGTCACAGAGCATGTATCATGATTTGCCTAGGCATTAGAATCAGCAGAGTTGTAGCATTTCCCTCAAATTCATATCTTTTCAATATGTGACACATCCATACGGGAAAATAGCACACACAAATGTTACTGGACCTTTGGCCAACATAGGTCCAGTATGTTGGCCAACTCGGCGCATCTGTTGACACCGAGTTAGATTCCATCTTTTGGTCTCTTGTCAAGAGATGAATTCTTAACAGTAATTTTACACAGTCTCCTGCCCAGGTTTGGAACTGGCATGTGTAGGATGATCCTGGTAGGATCAAAGCTGCACACAGGAGGCCATTTCTTTAATTTATCTTATTTATCTACTGTGAGCGGAAATTATGGAACTGCAGTGTAATCCCATGGGGTCAAATCCAACCTCCTTGCACTCTTAGTCTGGCCCTCTTAGCTTCATGACATGGTCATGTCACTTTTCCCATGGAGTCATCCTCATTTGGCGGGTTTAAAAGCTTCTGTTGTTGTTCATTCGTTCAGTCGTCTCCGACTTTTGTGACCTCATGGACCAGCCCAAGGCAGAGCTCCCTGTCGGCCGTCACCACCCCCAGCTCCTTCAAGGTCAATCCAGTCACTTCAAGGATGCCATCCATCCATCTTGCCCTTGGTTGGCCCCTCTTCCTTAGTTCACTCCTAATCTTAGAAGCTTAAAAAAATTCCTATCCAAGGGCTACGTTACTATCATTAAAAACTTTAAACTAAAATATGCTGGTATTTTTGATCCCACCCTTTGGCCTTGAACACTTTCGGAATGTCGTTCTAAAAATTGAGCTGAAGTGGGTTCCCCAATTTTGAGTTACCAAGTGAAAATTCTTTGGGTTGTTGTGAGTTTTCTGGACTGTATGGCCATGTTCCAGAAGCATTCTCTCCTGACATTTCACCCACATCAATGGCAGACATTCTCAGAGGTTGTCAGATCTCACAACCTCTGAGGATGCCTGTGACAGATGTCAGCAAAACATCAGGAGAGAATGCTTCTGGAGCATGGCCGTACAGCCCGGAAAACTCACAACAACCCAGTGATTCCATCCACGAAAGCCTTTGACAACACATGGAAATTATTTTTGTGCATTACTGCAGATACAGAGAGGGATATTCCAGGCCTGATCTTCAAATACTCACCCAGCAACGCTTTCTAGAGTCATGGACAGCTCACAAATCACTCCTGAGTATTAAGGGAACCTTTGGGACAGTATGGGTTAGATCAGTGGCCCTCAACCTGTAGGTCCCCAGGTGCCGTGCTTACTCCATTGGCCTGCATCTTATTCATAGAATCATAGAGTTGGAAGAGACCTCGTGGGCCATTCAGTCCGACTCCCTGCCAAGAAGCAGGAAAATCACATTCATAGCACCCCCCGACAGATGGCCATCCAGCCTCTGTTTAAAAGCCTCCAAAGAAGGAGTCTCCACCACACTCTGAGGCAGAGAGTTCCACTGATGAACAGTTCTCATAGTTTAGGAAGTTCTTCCTCATGTTCAGTCCCAACTAAAGTATACTCAATGAAATGTGTATTGACTCATCACTCAACAAGTGATTCGATGGGTCATCCCCAGTTGGGACAATCAGTAGAATTGTAGCAATTGCATTTGTCAGGTACTTAATTGGTGATTCCCCAGCCCATAACGTCTTGTTCTAATGCTGCTTTCTTAATTGTTTTCTAGGGGCTGGAAGATCGCTGGGGGAATTCTCATTCTTATAATCTGCACAATTAACATATACTTTGTGGTGGTCTATGTTACTGCCTTGGGACAAATGGTATTTTATGTGTGTGCTTCCATTCTCAGCATTGTCTACCTTGCCTTCGTGGCATACTTGGTAAGTGAACAAAGGGGTGGGTGTGCTTTCTTCCTTCCCAGGAAGGCTGCAAAATTGTATCCCTCCAATTGATGTTAAACTTCATTGTGTCTGACCAGTTGTCATACTGGTGATCCCAGAGAGAGTTTTTGAGATCTAGCAACAGGTTCCTCACCTCTTTTTCTGCCTTTTTCTGCCTTACTATTTTTGAACTGCTAGGTTGGCAGAAGCTGGGGCTAACAAGGGGAGCTCACCCTGATCCCCGCATTCAAATCGCTTACCTTTTGGTCAGCAAGTTCTGCAGCTCAGGTTTTTAACCCACTAGAGAAAATGAAGTCAAATGTTCAACAAGATTGAAGTGTGTTCAGCAGCTTCATGATGGTATTCCAACATATTTACAAAACATTAGTTGTGTGTCTGGAAATGCTTCTCTTTGAGATCCGAGGAGAGAGATGCTGCTGTCTTTCTCAAAACTTATAGTCTCCAGGAGCAATGGTTGAATTGATCCCATCCCCTTTAGCTCAATGAATTACAAACCCAGTCTTTTAAGCATGAATGATAAGCTTGCTGATGATATTGTAATGTTTTTAAATGAGTTATTTCGATGGTAAAGTCTTTGTATGGCTCTTGCTGAGTGCTTTGGAAATCATGCATTCTCACATGACATCATTGTAGGAGGTGTCTCCTATCAAAATGAAATGAAATGGTAGGCCGTTCTTTTTCATAAGGAAGCGAGTGGTGAGCCTTCGTACTGTGACGTAGTGCTCTTGAATACATCTATATAAATAAAAATGTAATGTTTGTTTGTGGGATTAACATAACTCAAAAACCATTGGATGAATTGATACAAAATTTGGATACTATACCCTTAACAGACCAACGAGTGACCATCACTCATAACCCCCCCCCCCCCACCACCCCCCCCCCCACACCCCCCACGCCCCCCCCCAAAAACAGCAGAAAGGACTTAAAAATCCAAAAAAGCTAAATGACTAAAAGCTAAATGGCGTTACAGAAAAAAGGAAGAGGAAGGGAATGGGATAAAGAAAAAACGAGAGAGAGGGAAGGAAGGAAGCATGGAAGCAAAGATCGATGGAAAGAAGGAAAGATGTAGATAAGGACGAAAGGAGAGAAAGAAAGAAAGATGGACAGAGGGAGGGAAAGAGAGATGGAGGGCAAGAAAGAATGAAAGAGAGAAGGAAGCATCGAAGCAAAGAACAAAGCAAGGAAGGAAAGAGGTAGAGAAGGAAGGAAGGAAGGAAGGAAGGAGAGAGAGAGAGAGAGAGAGAGAAAGAAAGAAAGAAAGAAAGAAAGAAAAGGAAAGGAAAAGGAAAGAAAGAAAGAAAGGGGAGAAAGAGGGAGGGCAAGAAAGAAGGAAGGAGAGATGGAAGCAAAGAGCAAAGGAAAGAAGGAAGGAAGAGGAAGAAGGAAAGAGAAGGAAGGAAGGAAGGAGAGAAAGAAAGAAAGAAAGACGGAGGAAATAGGGAGGGCAAGAAAGCAGGAAAGAGAAGGAAGCATGGAAGCAAAGAGCAAAAGAAGGAAGGAAGGAAAGAAAGAAAGACGGAGGGAAAGAGGGAGGGCAAGAAAGCAGGAAAGAGAAGGAAGCATGGAAGCAAAGAGCAAAGGAAGGAAAGAAAGAGGTAGAGAAGGAAGAAAGGTGAGAAAGAAAGAAAAAGAAAGAAAGAAAGAAAGAAAGGAAAAGAGGGAGGGAAAGAAAGAAAGAAGGAAAGAGATGGAAGCAAAGAGCAAAGGAAGGAAGGAAGGAAGGAGAGAAAGAAATAGGAAAAGGAAAAGGGGGAGGAAGGAAAGAGGTAGAAAAGGAAGGAAGGAGAGAAAGAAGGAAAGAAGGAAAGAGGGAGCAAAGGAAGGAGGGAAAAAAGGAGAAAGGGAGGGAAGGTTGGCCACAGCAACGCATGGCGGGTACAGCTAGTTTCTAAGTAAAATGGTTGAGACTGTGAAGGTCCTGAACTACAAAAGACCCATTTCCCACAGAGAGAACAGGAGGAAAGTTGAAATCATGCCAGACAACATTTGCAGGCAACATCTGGCAATTCAGCCTGGTTTTTCTCCTGTGTTCAGCATGTGGAGAAGGGCAACAAGGAGAGTAACCCCTGCTATCTCGTATTATTAATCTGCTGTAAGAGTGACGCTTAGGAGAGGGGAGACCTGCATGCCATGGACAGTTTAAATCCCTTTTTGGTTAGGAAACTCACAGGCTGACTTTGGGCATGTCACACTTTCTCAGTGGAACCCCCGGTGGTGCAATGGGTTAAACCCTTGTGCCAGCAGGACTGCAGACCGACAGGTCAGTGGTTTGAATCCGGGGAGAGCGGGTTGAGCTCCCTCTGTCAGCACCAGCTGTCAGAAGGGACATGAGAGAAGCCTCCCACAAGGATGGTAAAACATCAAACATCCAGGCGTCCCCTGGGTGACTTCCTTGCAGACAGCCAATTTTCTCATACCAGAAGCGACTTGCAGTTTCTCAAGTCACTCCTAACCCCCCCCCCCAAAAAAAAAAAAAGAAAAACAACTTTCTCAGTCTCAGAAGAAGGCAATGACAAATTGGTAGGGTTGCCTTAAGGTTGTCATTGACCAGAAACTTCTTGAAAGCAAGCAACACAAACCACGTACATAGCTCCTTCACTAAATGTGTGTACTTGTGACATGGTTATTGGGTCATTGAGTTGGTTTGTAAGTCTGAATAAATACAGGAAGTGAGTTCATATGTGTCAGCTTTTAGGGTTGCACTATTGCACTGTGATTAAAGTTGTTTGTGCTCAGTAAGGCAACTCTTCTTGGAGAAATATCTTTTCAATACTTATTAAAACAACAGGGTGCATGTGTCACTTTAGGAGACATATTCTTTTGTATTTAATTGAGAAGAACAAATGGCTTTTCTTTAATATGGTGCCTGCTGTGATTGTTGTCTCATGGAAAAACAGAGAGCTGTTTTGTCAGAACTCTCTGCTAATGCTGTTAGGTGTGTTTAATTGGATCAGACCTTCTACACAGAACTTGGAGAGTTACTTTGCAAATTTAATATGTTCCCATTGCTTGTTGCAATGTTGACAAAATTGATTTGTTGGTAATGGTACTTGTTGCAACATTAGAGAGCCATTTATTATTTTCTCATTAGTTTTTTTTTTGGGGGGGTGGTGGTCGCAGGATGGATGAGAGAATGAAGTAAAGCCTGAAAAAAGCACCTAAAATGCCCTTTAGAAACAGATTCAAAACTATTTAGAAAACATAACTCATTGCATGCTCTTGTACTTCCAGTATTATAACTCCTGCTTATTGTATTAAGGAGCACCCGGTAGCGCAATGGGTTAAATCATTGTGTCATCAGGATTGCTGACTGAAAGGTCAGTGGTTCGAATCCAGGGAGTGGGGTGAGCTCCTGTCTGTCAGCTCCTGCTTCTCATGCGGGGACATGAGAGGAGCCTCCCACAGAATGGTAAAACATCCAGGCATCCCCTGGTCAACATCCTTGCAGATGGCTAATTCTCTCACACCAGAAGCGACTTACAGTTTCTCAAGTCACTCCTGACATTAAAAAAAAACTTACTGTATCACTTGTGAAATTTAACTTTGGCCTCTCATTTCTGGCTATCCCCAACAACTGCTGCTGCCTCTATTACAAGTAATTATATTACTTGCAGCTCATCATTTGTTCCTACAGTTACTTAAGTAATATTCCTTGACAAAGAAAATTCTAGGAGGACAAGAGAAAGTGATAAGGTGCCCAATCAAAAGCCATGTTTGGAACATTGCCATACAGCCCGGAAAACTTACTGCAACCCATGTTGGCTTCTGTTGGAAGAAGATGAGAGCGGAGCAAGGTGGTTGTGGGGAGAATATATATATCCCCCCCTCCCCCTGGTCTTGAGTGAGGTCCCTTCCATACTGCCCTTATATCCCGGGATCTGATCCCAGATTATTTTCTTATCCCAGATTATCTGGCAGTGGAGACTCATATAATCCAGTTTGAACTAGATAATCTGGGATCAGATCCTGGGATATAGGGGCAGTGTGCAAGGGGCCTTACTCCAACTGGAAAAGTTCTGCATCTAATAGATCTGAAATTTTATTCTAGCCTATACCAGGTATTGTCTCCCCACTTTTAATATTTTTTGCCTTGTCCACCTTTTGAACCTCAGTCTGGAAAAAAAAATCCTTCTGGTCTTTACAACACCTTCCCAGGTAACAAAGGACTGTGGTTTCAACTTCGAAAACTATTTTCAGATCATCTGGAAGGTTTCAATTTGCTGTCATTTGGGATAATTAGAAGGGATGGCATGCTATTCTTAACTGATTTGGGGCAATTTTTCAGAGGTGGTTCATTATTGTTCAGTTTTGCTTTTGCTCTTTCTACTCTAGGGAACAATCCAAGACTCTTTCTAGTCTAGGGAACATTTATTCATTTATTGTAGCTGCTAAGAAATTATGTGTATGTAGTGAAGATCCTCCCCCCCCCCCCAACCTTGCATTGAAGTTGCCACTCTTTAACTCCATGTGTTCTTCCTTTGTCCTTCCAGACGTGGCAGTGCTTAATAGCGCTCGGGATTTCCAGCCTGGCCTGTGGGCACACGGTAAGAGTCACAAGAGCCTTGCTTACTGAAGAGCCGCCTGCCTCGCCAATTAATTAATTAATTAATACTGGGTCTACCTGTATGTGACAGTAGCCATCAGGGCCAGTGCGTTTCTATGGTTTACTCTGTGAACATGTCCAAATGTATGTGCAATTTTGCACAAAGTTTAAGATTGTAGTAATAATGTAAAAGAAATCATCCTAAATGTACATAACGAGAGATCCTTTGGTTGTTCTTCTCCTTGCTGTTCCCCTATCATTGCGTTCAGGAGGAGTGCCAGTTTCTCTGTTGTGGCACCTCACTGGCTGCGTATGCAGACAACACTAGGACGCTTTGGAATGTCTTTAAAGAGCAAGCATTATATATCTGCACTGTGGAGATTAACTTTAAATATGATTAACAGCATTAATTAATATCCTAGATTGCACTTCACTAAAGTGGAGCCAAACAGGTTGTATTGATGTCCACATTTGGAATTAAGGAGACCTTTGCCCGGACCGCAAACTCCAGAGAATCCCAGAAGTTAGGAAAGCTGTTTATTTTGGATTAGATTGCCTAGTCAGTATGACCCAGTGGCCAAGCTTGCAGAAAGATTCTGGGAGTCATAGTCCAAAAAAATATTTTTTCCATGATGGCGAGTGTGTGTGACTATCTCCCTGAGGAATGCTGAGTGGACTCCAATTTGCTTCTCTATGTGCTAAGGGAGCCATTTTCTCTATTGGGGAGCATTCAGAATTGCCACCCCAAAATTGTACAATCTAGGTAATGCATTACCAGCTAGTTCCGCTTAATGTGGAAACACGACCCTATATCCTTAACTGTAAATGTCTATTAATGATCCAGAGTAAGTGTAAATTAATGCCACTGAGGCTACATTGAAGGCATGGGCAAACTTTGGCCCTCCAGGTGTTTTGGACTTCAACTCCCACAATTCCTAACAGACTCAGGCCCCTTCCTTTTCCCCCTCAGCCGCTTAAGCCTGAGGCTGTTAGGAATTGTGGGAGTTGAAGTCCAAAACACCTGGAGGGCCCAAGTTTGCCCATGCCTGCTATATACTGTCCACCCACCAACTCTTCAACTAAGTTCTCCAGTTAACATGTAGGCAATGGAAGCAAAGTGTCCATCAGGTGGGTGGGTAATCTTCTGCAGGATTTCTGCCCACTAGATCAGGAAAAATCAAATGGCTGCCGCTTTTGACAGAAGAGAGAGGGGGAAACTCTTGGCCTGGCCATCCCCACTGTCATCTATTGAGAATTTGACCACAGCAAATTCCAGCTATGTGTATATGTTGTGGAGCCCCCAAACAGCTACCTCAGCTCTCTTAAATGTATGTTTACCAACCTATGGGTTCTTCCCACTCCAAATTGTTTGACTCCAATTCCCCTAATCTCTCACCTTTGGCTAAGGCTCCTGGGAGTCCACACTCAACAACTTCAGAGGATAAATGTTGGGACTACTGCGCTCAAGTGTGCAAAAAAGGAATGCTTTATTCACACATTGAGCAGGAACTGCTGCTGGGGAGTATACACTTCCAAAGTGCTTCTTAGTAATGTGACGACATCATGTGTGTTTCTGTTTCTCCAAACGATAGTTAAGGAGTGCCTGTAGCTCTGCAAAGATCTCTCTCCTCTGTTTTCATCTGAAGTAGAGATTTTGCTAGATGAAGCTTAATTGGCTTTTCTTAAACAGAAGCATTGGAGGCTTAAAAAAATGAAAAACGGCCTATACATAAAAAATATTTCTTATATTATTTGGTGTGCAATTCTGGGGGACAGCAAGGAGAAAATATTTAATGTTCATTGTTTACAAGTTTTTACTTTTGTGATTCATTCTTATTCTAATGAAGTGAAATAGTGTCTGCGTTTCCCATAATTCCTTGTATTAAGAATGTTAGAGTTACCAGCAGGTTTTCTGGGCCACATAGGAAGTGTGGAAACTTGAACCCTCTTCCCCACTCCACCCAAGAATCTCCACTAGCCTTTAGCATGAATACCAATTTTAAAATACATGTTTGGTAATGTGGCATGTATTATAATTGACCCATCTTTCTAGTCTGTCTGTGTTTCTCCTTATTTCCCCTCTTACTTGTTGCAAGATCTTCCATCTTGCTATTGCAAAGCTCACAGAGAGTTTGGTGTTGAGAGAAGACAAGTGGCAGCATTAAGAATTTTTTAAAATTGCACCATTGATCTGGATAGATAAGGATTAAGTGATTTCTTAGATGCAAAGTAATTGATGTTTTTTATCTCCATGAATAGCCATTGAACATAATTAAATATTAACTTCAAGAGTTTATAGCAGTGGTTCTCAACCTGTGGGTCCCCAGATGTTTTGGCCTTCAACTCCCAGAAATCCTAACAGCTGGTAAACTGACTGGGATTTCTGGGAGTTGTAGGCCAAAACACTGGGGACCCACAGGTTGAGAACCACTGTTTTATAGTATAGATTAAAAAGGTCCAGACCAAGTCTCAGAGCTTGAATGTGGTGAGTGTATTTCCTAAAACTGTGATAAGTAGCAAACTGTAAAATGTGGCTAATGAGGATTTGTAGAGATCACTCCATTTCTACTTTTTGTTGAGATTTGGCCCTTAAATGGTCTCGCTGAAAACATTTTGAACCCTAAATAATATTTCTATTTTTATAGGGGAAAAATAGAGAAATCTTGCAATTTGTCTCAAGCAATATTTGCTTGAATGTTATGTCACTGATCCCAAATGTAACCTTGATCTTGTAAAACTGATAAGAATCCCCCTTTGCTAGGCTAGATATTTCAGAAACAACTTGTTCAAAGTCATATATGTGAAGATGAAACTGGCTTTTGAAAGATTTATTCTTCTTTTAATTTTCCATTTGTATGCTGTGACACTAATTGCCTTGATTTGAAAGAGCAGGGATCACAAACAGAGCTCAGTCCCATATATAGAGTGTTATGAACCACTTGTATGAGCCTACCAATGTACTGTGGTTTAATCTGGAGTTGGAATGACTATTGCCTTTTTGGAAATCTGTATTCTCTGCTCTTTACAACAAAAACAAAAGTGTATTGCTGAAGGCTTTCATGGTCGGAATCACTGGGTTGCTGTGAATTTTTAGGGCTGTATGACTATGTTCCAGAAGCATTCCTAGAAGAGAATGCTTCTGGAACATGGCCATACAGCCCAAAAAATGCACAGCAACTCAAAAGCAAAAGTCCCTTTCTATTGAATTACATTTTGCTTCTGTTGCTTACACTTTATTATGTATTTTCGAAGGCTTTTGTGGCCGGAATCACTGGATTGTTGTAAGTTTTCCAGGCTATATGGCCATGTTCCAGAAGCATTCTCTCCTGATGTTTCGCCTGCATCTATTGCAGGCATCCTCAGAGGTTGTGAGGTCTGCCATAGATGCAGGCATAACATCAGGAGAGAATGCTTCTAGAACATGGCCATATAAAAACCTACAGAGAATATTATTTTACATCCCAATTTACCTGAAGTTTTGAGAACGCTTCACCGTTAAATACTAACTCTTATCAGGATTTACCTTTGACCTGTTCTGAATATTCAAACACATAGTTAAGGATCATCAAGTCCTGTTCAAACTGGGAAGCTTCAAGGACACTAAGTAAAATACTGAATTTGAACCAGTGACATCACTAAAATATCCAGTTTAGGAATTAATCCCTAAATTGGGGGGCACTGAGCTGCTTACAAAAATGACAATTAGCATCTCTTCAAGATGAAATGGTGCACCCAGTCCTAAAATGTAGAAAACAGAAGTGAACCATTATCTCTTCTGTTAATTATGTGCAAACTGGGTATTCGTTTTGTCTGGGAGTCTGTAGTTTTGCATGTTGTATGTTTTTTATTGTGAGAAAAATATTGTTCACATAATAGCTTGAGAGAGGAAAAAAACGGTATGTGCTTCAGGCTTCCGTTAAGGTTTAGCTCAGTGGTTCTCAACCTGTGGGTCCCCAGGTGTTTTGGCCTACAACCCCAAGAAACCCCACCCAGTTTAACAGCTCTTAGGATTTCTGGGAGTTGAAGGCCAAAACATCTGGGGACCCACAGGTTGAGAACCACTGGTTTAGCTGGAATTGTACACTCATTTCTCCAGAGTGGTAACATAAATAATAATGTGATAAAATGCATTATTTCCCCTTTGGTGTGAAACGAGAGAGATTTAGCATTCTGCTTCAAACACTAAGCATTAGCTGGATGCTTCCCTCTCTCCTTCATGAACACTAGACTGTAGTTTCCCACTTGGCAACAGGATATGGATATCTTTCTTACTTCAAAATGTTTTGGTGGTGTGTAAATCTTTATAAGCAATAGGGATGTGCTTCTAGTTGCATAGAACATCAGGCATTTTTAGGGACTAATCTTCACTTCTTAAATCTTCATAACTACTTCCCTGTTTATCTTGCATCTTCTGGTTTTATCTGCACTGACTATATATATATGCACACACACACTCTTGATGGCTTTTCTTCTGTGAAGCCCAAAACAGATTTAACACCCCAACATCTCAAAAGGGACATGGTTTAAAATTCTCTTTTTGCAATCTCTGCAAATATGTCCTGCAATGTCCATATATGCTTTGTGTAGAGTGCATTGTTTTGTGTCTTCCGTTTTTGGGCAGCCGCACAGTTTACACTGAGGCTCGTTGGAGATTCACGTTATTACAAATGGCCAGCTGCCTTCAGCAACTCTAAACTTTTCTTCTATGCACTTTAACTTTGAATGAAAATAGAAAATTGAGGTGTCAATTTCTTTATGTCTCGATTTGAATATGGTTCGAGATTCTGAAAATCGGAGTAATGTAGCAATCATGTACTAACACATCTGTGCTACATTTTGGCTTGTATGGTCTGAAAAAAATGTCTATTTTTTATCTAACAAACTAATGTGTATTGGCAAAAAATCAATTAAAAATGGAACATTTTTCAGTTTGGGTCTCTTTGTTTTATAAAAAAATATATATATAGATAGATATAATTTTTATTACAAATACACAAAAATCGTTCTTGCAAGATCTGTACACACATCTTCTCCAATCTGGAGAACAAGCAATTTCTCTCCTCCATTCACAAGAGAGAAGAAATTCTGCAGATATATTGGCTAAGGACTCTGCTGTAACATATGGATGCTCCTGCTCTCTAAAATGTGGTTCCCAACATAAATCAGAATCCTTCTTAGACTGCAATCATTCAGTCATATAAAAAGTTTGTTTGTTCTTTGGGGAGATAAAAAAACCTCAATAGAAATAACATTTTGACTCGTCGTTAACAAAAATGGTGGTCAGAGTTGAACATGAAGAGCATTGCAGTTCTTTTTAACACAGAGATGAAAATCAAGTCACCCACCATTGACTCGGTGGATTGGGGCTGATGAGACTTGCAATCCAATTGCATTTAGAAGACCAAATGTGTTTCCGACTCCCAGATTTATAGTGATTTTTTAACCAATAAGAGTCATCCAGGTTCTTCTGCAGAGTGTAACATCTGGATTTCAAGAACAATCCCAAATATGTACTAGTAGACCTGTTGTCCTCCAATATGAGTGTGACCCCTTGGAAAGCGGAGCTGGTAGCCCCTCACCGCATCCATAAAGTAGTGAAACCCACTAACCTATACTCCTTATCATGTTTTCTGTCTTGAACTTACAATCGGACAGGGTTACTAGGCCAGGTTCTGAAACAGCTGAAGAATTAGAGTCCTTTTCAGCTCTGCTGTATTTAGGGAAGGAGAAGGAAGTGCCTAATCCCAATTCAACATCTTAAGTCTGATGCTCTAAAACAAAAACATGGGCTACCATTCTGTTAGTGAGCTACACAGATGTATTGGCTAATTCATTGTATAAATCACATATTAGTTTGAAGAATTGGGAAATGATCCAAACTGCCTATAAGCCCACATTTTTCATGTTGCTCACTTCTTAATGTGGCCATGTATTGCAATCTGAGAAACATCTAACTATGATTATTACGCATGTGCAATCCATGGTTCTAAATGGTTCTTAAGTAGTTACAAAACTAAAGTTTTGGTTGTGAAAACTAGGGGGCGCTGGTGCTTTGCTTCTACAGTGTTGCCAAAGTTCTGGTGGTGAAAAATTCAGAACTCTTAACAAAACTTTCAAAATTTCATTATTTTGTTATTGGTGTTTTTTATGACAGAACCTATTAGGAACTGCCGTTTTTCTTTGAGACATCAGGTGGGGTTTGTTTGTGTGTCTGCAATCAAAGGAGAATCTGCTGATGTTAGTTTTTGGGAGGGAATAAATAAAGAGCCCTTTCCCCTTTACATAAATAAAGATGAACAGATTCTGCGGGGGGGGGGGAGCAAATTAGAAAATACTTGGTGTATAATTTTATATTCCTGGTTTAGAAGTACTGTTTTATTTTTCTCTCTGCTTTTGGTTTCCAGTTTCACAATCAAGACAGCAGGCTTACTAAAACAAAATATAGTGTTTTCTGGCATATAAGACTACTTTTTAACCCAAGAAAATCTTCTCAAAAGTCAGGGGTTGTCTTATATGCGGGAGTCGTCATATATGCCAGGAGTCGTCTTATAGAACGGGTGCCTGGGGAATGGAAGAAAGAGATAGAGTGGCTCTGGCCCCAGAAAAACACACCTCTTTTACCTGTCTGGCTCGCCCTTGTATCCTATTACCGTACCTCCTCCTCTGCCTCTCAGATCTCGCTCCTGAAGATTGCAGTGAAACGATGCAGGTGCGCATGTGCAAGATCTGAGAGGCAGAGAAGGAGGTACACTAATAGGAAAATTACCATATTGAAATAAATTTGAATGCTTTTAAAAATTTTATTTGGTGTGCGTTGGAAGAGGGGTAGTCTTATACGGCGAGTATATCCTAAACTCTATATTTTAACTGGGAAAGTTGGGGGTCGTCTTATACGCCCAGTCATCTTATATGCCGGAAAATACGGCATACATCTCTAGATGTCAAATCTTGCTAACATAGTTAATCAAATGCCAGTAGATCTATTGAATGTCCTTCAGATGACAACTTCTAAGTTAGCAAATTGTTTTCTTATATATTATGGGTAAGCACAACATGCAGAATGAAATGACTCATTCACTTCTTACACAAAAGTTCGTTCAAGTTATAACTTGAATTCTAATATATTATGTATTATGGGTATTTTCTCCCCCCCTCTTTTATTGCAAGCTTTCCTTGGCAACTTTAAAGGCCCTGAAAGGTGTAAGTAATTCTTCACTCCTCTAAGAAACATTCAACTTAAACTTTGTGCAATATATAAAATACTACGTTTTTATTTTTTAATTTACAAGTTGGTTTTGTAAAGTTTCAATGTGTTACATAGTTTTTCTGTCCTTTTAGTTCTATCCCTCCATAACTTTGAAATAATTGTGGAAGCCTAAAATCTTCTTAAATGTGGTTAAGACAATGGAAATCAACCTGAAATTAAAGTCAGAAGAACAACAAAGGTTCAAAAATAAATTAATGAGCCCCTACATTTATCTGTTTAGCAGCTTACAACATGTGCATGTTCATTCTGTAGAAGGTGGAGTTACACTCATATAAAATCAAATGTTATGAAACACATGGATGATGATGTTTAGTGGATCATGATGACAGCTAGGCTTTCCAAAAATACTGGGGACAAAGGATTTATTCTTATTTCTGTGACCTCAATAATCACAGCTGTTTGCAACTGAAATACATTCATTTAAACCAGTGGTTCCCAACCTTTGGTCTGTGGACCTCCAGTGGTCTGCTAGAACGAAAATATGGTCCACGGCCACACCATTACTACACCGTTGCCTCGAAACCATGCGGCAACTGGTCTTGCAAAACCCTCTTATAGTGCTGAAATACTACATTCCATATTAAAACCATGCCATCGGTATACTTGATGCTCTTGATGTTCCCCCAGCAACAGCAAGAATATCCCTCTGGGCAGCTAAACCAGGAAATCCCAAATGGATCCCCCCCCTGCCCCCACAATGAGGGTATTCCTCCAGAGGTAAACCAAGAATGGGTAACTTGGAAGTCCTTGAACCAGACTCAGAAGTGGAGTGGGCAGATCAAAAGACAACCTGGCTAAATGGCACTACCTAGAAGAATTCTCCACCTAGTGCTACTGTGGCACAGAACAGACAACTCAGCATCTGTATGCTTATTTATTTCATTTCATGCATTTCTACCCTGCCCTTCTCCCGCCAAAGGGAACTCAGGGTGGCCCACAATGCCCTGCCTCAAGCACAGAGGAAGAACTATTTAGGGTTACATACAATGCACTCGCTGTTGCCCGTTTTTGGTCTAAAATTATTTAGCCGCTTGTGTTCCCTCTATTTTGTTTCATTTTTATACTAATTTATGCAGTGCTTTTGACATGAAATAAATAAATGGAACCATTACATCCACAAACAGAAATAATTCAGAAGTGTTATATGACAAAACATAAAGCTTCTATTGTGATGCAAATTGTCATGGGCCAGAGTCCACTTCGTCGGATTTATGAATATTTATGTATTCCACAAAAATAGGTGGAATTTGGTTTTTGAATGCAGAAAAGCAAAAAGTAAAAGCGGTCTTTATGTCAACCACATAAACTACGCTAATTTATATAAACAAACCCAAATTGACGTGTTGTCCTTGAGGTTTAAAAACAAAAGAGAAAATCTGCATAAACTAACTCTTGTATCAGGATAATTGAAAACCTGCAAAGTATTCCAAGATCTCCATGAGGCAGGATATTTCAAAAATCGGTGAACAGAGAAACCACAACCTGAAGGATATTCCAGGGGGAATTGTGACATCCCAACTCCAGTTAGTAGTGCATTTGTGTGACTCCCAACTCAAGAGTCCCCAGTAATTGGATTAGCCTAGTCAGATTTATAATACAAGGACATGCAATATGCTACATATGTATCACAGAACTACAGGAAAACATTCTCAATTCCCTACCATTAAAAGCCTGATCCCAATCTTCATGTCAGCTTCATGGAAAAGAGGCCCTCTGAGAAAGCCCATGAGACCTACCATGGCTTCCACTCTACTACTAACCCACTCTTCAAGTACACTATGCAAAGGGTGCTTTCAGGACATAGCAATACAACTTTGGGAGAAACTCAGAAATGGCTAGAAAGGGATTGTTACACAAAACATGCATTCTATCAGCCGGGTTGAGCTTAACAACATACCATGGACTCTGTAATGTATGGCTTCACTTACGATGTAACTACTTTTCTCACAACTCTTGTGACATAATTTTCAGCACCCATTTTTCAAAGCCACAGAACTTCCCCGAGAAGGTCAGAAGCCGCCTGCTATAGACCAGGCCAGGAAAAAAAAGATCAAGACGATAGCAATTGTCACCTTAAGTTCCCAGCGGAATCTCTTCCAGAATATAGAAATTTATTTATTTATTTATTTACAGTATTTGTATACCGCCCCTCTCAGCCTTCTGGTGACTCGAGGCGGTTTACAAGACAAAATTCAATACCACCAAAAACACAGTTACAATATAAAAACTTTAACATCAATAAAATCATAACAGCTGCAATAAAACATAATTCAATAAATACTCATTAAAACAATGTCCAATCCATCTTGTAGTTGATTCCATTCTTATGTCCGTTACTCAGTATTCGCAAATGCCTGCTCGAATAGCCATGTCTTGAGTTTTTTCCGAAATGCTAAAAGCGAAGAAGCCGATCTGATCTCCCTAGGAAGGGTGTTCCATAGCCGAGGGGTCACCACTGAGAAGGTCTTGTCTCTCGTCTCTGACAGCCATACTTGTGATGATGGCGGGACCGAGAGCAGGGCCTCTCCAGACGATCTTAAATTGACATCCAGAATAGACAAAATGACAAACCTTTCTCCCAGGCCATGGATGGCGGATCTACCCTTTCTCAGGGACAGGTCCTCGGTCTAAAGAAACTACTTATTAGCAACAATGAGTCACAAAACAAGAGATAAGGACCTGGGAGCAAAGCCCTACAATCAGCTCCAACAGTCTATATATCTATTCCAGTGACACAATCGTGTGATGAAACAGCCACACTGATATTATCACATAATTCACTTCCCCTGATATAGAGTATCAGGCTGCTCATAATAAGTCTTAAGTCATTAATTGATATAAGGTCAAAGAGATCAGCCATAAACTCATGAAAGGTGGTGCATCAGATTTAGAAAACAATTGAAATGCATTGCTATTTTCTAAGTCCTCCTGGAGCCAAGCTTAAAGTCATACTCCGAGAAGAAAAAGGATGCAATGCTAAGTTGTAATTCATTTGCAAAGTGAGCAGTGTAGGAGCTTGGCTTATTAAAAAGTGGGTGTACAAAACCAATGTAAAGTTCCTCCTTTAAGTGTGGATTTCTATTTTTCTTTTTGCTTTCCCTGTCTGGTCCTGATTGCTGTGACTGGATGCAGTACTCATTTGATTAAATCTTTAATTCACATTGTACTCCTTTCCATTTGTAATCTTTTCCGTATGGTTACACACACATGCACACTTGTCTTGCTTTGCTTGACATTCTTACTTTACTTTACAAGTACATCCTCTTTTCTCTATGATCATAGTGCGTGTATCTATCTATCACATATATCGTATAATATATCTGTCTATTTAATAAACTGAGCTTTGGCCTAGAGAAAGATGAGGCTCAAGAGATACTTCCAACATTGCATAGCTACATTAGCATATTACCTTATTCTGAGCCAGACTATCTGTATATCTAGCCCTCTTTTGGCAACTACTTTGCAGGTTTTCAATCAAGTTTCCTTCCAAGCTGTACTCAAAGATCCTTGATACAGTAGAGTCTTGCTTATCCAACTTTCACTCATCCAACGTTCTGGATTATCCAACACAGTCTGCCTCCTGCCCGGATCCACAGCTGTTTCAATACATTGCGATGTTTTGGTGCTAAATCCGTAAATACAGCAATTGCTACATGATGTTACCGTGTAATGAACTGCTTTTTCTCTCAATTTGTTGTAAAATATGTTTTGGTTCTTAAATTGTAAAATCGTAACGTAAATTGACGTTTAATAGGCTTTCCCTTAATCCCTCCTTATTATCCAACATTTTTGCTTATCCAATGTTCTGCCGACCCGTTTACGTTGGATAAGTGAGACTCTATTGTTATTTACTAGTGGCTTCCCATCCAAGTACTAACCAACCTAAATCTTGCCGAGTTTCCCAAATAAGATACAACTGGGTATGTTTAGGGCAGTACAGTGGAATAAATTTTACTTCTACTATGGTTTATTGTTGACTGACCTGGCTAATCTTTCTGGATATATACATTTCAAACATTAGGAACAAGAGAGTGCCACATGTCTAACCAGCACCCACCATCTCCAGCTAAGTTAGATGAAAATACCTTCCATTTTCCATTAGGCGATCCCTCGTTGTCTGAGTAGGATAATCCTCCAGGGTGGGTTCGTAGGTGGCTATGGAGCCCTATTCTTGATCTGCATCGTATACCTGCCATCCTCATGCTGGCTGGGGACGGTGGGACTTGTAGTCTAAAATACATGCAAGGCAAGGGGAGGTATTCCACATACTCTCTTAGCTTCAACTTGGACACGTGAATGTCAGAATTGTACTGAAAAGAGGACGGGATAAAAACAGCGAGGGAGATTCTTGGAAAAATCAAGTATTGAAGGGAAGATGGCAACTCTTTAAACAAATAGTAGGATGGCTTCGTACTTGCAGGTATGAGGCTACCTGACTTTAAGTGGCTTTTGGACGCTGCTACCAAGACCCCATTCCTAATGGCCTATTTCTTTTCCCTCTCTTATTTAGTACAACCTGGGACTCATTTCTCGCCCTGAACTCTTCCTCCTCAACAACATGGATGCTGACTCGGTTACGAGCAGATGAACTACAGAAGAAGGGGGAAAATTAAAAGGGGAAAAAGCCCTCTTATGCTGCACAAAGCCTAATTCTGGTTGGTTCAAAAGTGAGTGACTATGCTCCAGAGAGACTCCTGTTTTGTACGAGGAGCAGAAATGAGATGGAGGGAGGGAAGTGGTGCTGTAAAGGATTTCCTGGAAAAGAGATTCCTTTCAAGCTGCCAACTGTGAAAGCTGTTAAAGTGCTACTGACACCATACACTGTGAAGGGGGCAGAATGGTACGTAATGACAGAGAGAAATCTTACCTTTTTGTGTGGGCCAAATACCTGCAAAATGTGGGAGAGGGCATTGACAGAAATGGAAGAGCAAAAGGAGAGTGCTCTTCTCGTCTTCCTCTCCCCAACATATACATTATCCTGTCCCATCTGTTTTCCTATTTGGCTTTATCCCTAGCCTCAGCATGCAACTGAGGCCTCTTTTACACTACCCTATATCCCCGGATCTGACCCCAGATTATCTTCTTATTCTAGATTATATGGCAGGAGAGACTCATATAATCCAGTTCAAAGTGGATAATCTGAGATGAGAACCTGGGATATAGGGCAGTGAAGATCTATCCTGGGAGAAAAGAGGTTGGGTGAGAAGTTGAAGGTTGGGGTGAGGAGGCAGGTAAGAGAGTTTGGGTCTTTCTTCTCATGTGCACTTTCCCCCCTTGAAATCTCCCTTTTGCCTTACAACTTTTGGGAAGTGAGCTGCATTTCAAAATAGCTGCCCCATCACTGTCTTATCTGTAGAAATATCTACAGGTTTTTGATCTTTTTAAAAATAACATGGGTAGCCATATACAGGGTGTTTCAAAAAAGATGGACATGTCATTTTGCAACACTCTGTCCTTCTCAGTTAAAGTACTAAGCACTGTCTTGTCTTTCTAAGATACAAAAATGACTACATGTTCTTCCTCACCTTCAAATTTCTAGAAGCGGGTGGATATTATTGAAGAAATTAAGCAATATTTTTTTCTTGAAGGTTTATAAGTTGAGCTATGAACCCATTATCAGTGGATTGCATCGAGACTTACTTGTGAGTTGACTGGAGTCTGTTGGTATTAATTAGCCTAGTCTAACCATGCCAAAGTCTAGATCCAATCCACGGAGCTCACATGTAAACCAGAAAGAATTCTGAAACATAACACTATATGAGAAACACATGTTGACAAAAAGGACACCCTCTGCATAAGCCTTCATAAAACAACGCCTCGGGGAAAGTTGTTCTTTCATCAGGCAGCATAGGAATCCTATAAAGGAATGACTGGATGAGCAGGAATATATGTCTCAAGGAGAGTTTGGACAGAAAAGTTGCTTGGTAGATTTGCTGGAAAAATTAGTGAACCAAGCTATGGGCTGTTCTTGACTTTTTCTCTGCTCAGCTTTTTCCTTCTCCCCAACATTCGTTGTTACTTGTTTCCTCCACTCCCATAGTGACATAATCCTTTCCTGGAAGCCACAGACAGTCCAAGACCTCGTAACTTCCTGAAGTTTGCTGCCTTTATTTGATACTAATGCATACAGCCAGACTTTTGCATATTTGACTATTTACAGATGTGATTAATATGATCTCTCGAGGAATCTCCAGGTTTTCTGGCACAGCTTTCTAGTCAGTATCTGCTAGCCATTGGCCATTAAGTTCCACCAGAGAATCTAGGCCAGTGGTTCTCAAATGGTGGGTCCCCAGATGTTTTGGCCTTCAACTCCCAGAAATCCTAACAGCTGGTAAACCACCTGGGATTTCTGGGAGTTGTAAACCAAAACACCTGGGGAGCCATTGGTTGAGAACAACTGATCTAGAAATTCCAAGGGAAAACACATCTCTAGGTTCTCCAGCACAGTTGTGGTCAACATCTGGCAGAAGTTGACCATAAAATTCATCTAGAGCAGTGGTTCTCAACCTATGGGTCCCCAGATGTTTTGGCCTTCAACTCCCAGAAATCCTAGCAGCTGTCAAACTGGCTGGGATTTCTGGGAATTGTAGACCAAACCACCTGGGGATCCACAGGTTGAGAACCACTGATCTAGAGGACCTAGAGATTCCTGGAGAGTTGTTCTCTTAGGTAAACAATATCAAAGTTGTTCACTTTCACAAGGTCTGTGACTCTAATCCCAGCCCGAATGTGGAGGTCTGACTACTTGTTTATTTTGCAATGGGATTTGGGAGATGTGGTACAAAAGGGAACTGTTAGCTTCTGACTTATGATACTGCAAAACGTATGTTTTTGAGTACTATCCGTCCCCTTTTTCCAGCTAGGTCAATCATACTCCCGCAGAAATGCATGGAGAAAGGCATAGGATAATAGAATCCAAGGGAAGACTTAATTATGAATTTTGTGACTAAGGACACATGTACACAGTTAAAAAAGTTGAATCACCATGGTTTCTTCCCAAGAATATTTGGTAGTGTGATTCTGTGACAGTGCTTTGGAATATGATGGCATCGTTGTTACTATAAGAGGCAATGGTGTGGTTTCTAGGAGAGCAGCTTTGAATATTGTGGGTCTTCCTTCCTGCAACCAGTTCCCCGCTTGTGGTCCTCCTTTAATATGGGAAGGGAAACTCAGTGAATGTGTCCTCTTTCATGTCAGTGGGGAGACAAAGCCACTCTGGGTTTTACTCCATCATTTAACGGCGCTCTATCCAGAGTCCTGAACCCAACTTCCGAAATAGTTTCCGCATTTTGACTATTACTTTAAAGCAGGCACGGGCAAACTTTGGCCCACCAAGTGTTTTGGACTTCAACTCCCAGACATCCCAGCCAGTTTACCAGCTGTTAGGAATTTTGGGAGTTTAAGTCCAAAACCGCCTGGAGGGCCGAAGTTTGCCCATGACTGCCTTAAAGTGCAGCCTAAACCAAGAACGGAGTCATCAGCCAACTGGCATGGATGCCACCTCTGAGGAAAACCCTCTGACAAGCAGCCTGTCTATAAACACTGGGCATGTTTTAACCAGTTAACAAAAGCCATCAAGCTGACTTGGGGCCCTTCCACACAGCCCTATATCCCAGAATATCAAGGCAGAAAATCCCCCATTATCTGCTTTGAACTGGGTTATCGGAGTCCACACTCAAATAATGTGGGATTTTCTACCTTGATATTCTGGGATATAGGGCTGTCTGGAAGGGCCCTGAGTAAATCTCAGAATTCCACCATAAAACCATAAGAAGTGGAACATTTCACAAGAGGTCCCAAACAAGCTTGGTGAATATGTGTACGTCTGACTTGACTTGGTACGTTTTGGATTAATCACCTCACTGAACATGTTGTGCGCCTCTTCCCTTTTATGTATGGAAAATGTTTGGAATTGTGTTACAAAGCATTCAGCGGGCATTGCCCTTTGGTACTTGGTGGGGTTTTAAAAATGTATTTTAAATCATTGTTCTGTTACAAAATACATCATCCCTTCCTCTCTTTTTTGCTATTTTTTAATTTTAATTTAGCACTAATTTATTTTGTATGTATTGGTCTCTAATTTTTGTTTCTTTCAATGGGGGTCCCGATTTTCAAATAAATATGTCCACTGCCCACTTCTGGTTTTGGCCTCTAATCTTGTTGTCTAATTTCTGCAATTATTACCAAGGCTGTCTGTCATGTGTTGTAAATAATATCCTTTTTTCTTAAGATAATGTGATTGTTTTAGTAACTTATTTCAAAACTCAGTGCAGCAAAATTATCCATCCCACCTGATGATCCTCTTTCAATATTTGTAGGTGGTTGGTGGTAGGGAGGAAGGAGGAAAAGGGAGAAATAGAACTGAGGCAGCATTTTCACAGGAATATTAACAACATGAGTATTATTTCATCAAATCCCATGTGGTTCCATGGAAGCTACTACAGGAGTAGGAATCCAAAAATGTCTAAAAAGGTTGGTAAAGGTTTTCCCCTGACATTAAGTCCAGTCATGTCTGACTCTGGGGTGTGGTGCTCATCTCCATTTCTAAGCCGAAGTGCTGGCGTTGTCCATAGACACCTCCAAGGTCATGTGGCCGGCATGACTGCATGGAGCCGTTTCCTGCCGGAGTGGTACCTATTGATCTACTCACATTTGCATGTTTTCAAACTGCTAGGTTGGCAGAAGCTGGGGCTGACAGCGGAAGCTCACGCCGCTCCTCGGATTCGAACCTGCAACCTTTCAGTCAACAAACTCAGCAGCTCAGCTCTTTAACCCACTGCGCCATCGGAGGCTCCACCAAAAATGTCTAAAGAGCTACAAATGCAAATTGCTCCATTTAGGCAGAAAAAATGAAATGCAAAAATACAGAATGGGGGATGATGCCTGGCTCAACAGCAGTCCGTGTGAAAAAGATCTTGGAGTCCTCTTAGACAGGAAGGTGAACATGAGCCAACAAGATCATGCGGCAGCTTAAAAAGCCAATGGGATTTTGCATCAAGAGTAGTCTAGGGTCTAGATCCAGGAAAGTCATGCTACCCCTCTCTTCTGCCTTGGTCAGACCACACCTGGAATCACACTGTGTCCAATTCTGGACACCACAATTGAAGGGAGATGTTGACAAGTTGGAATGTGTGCAGAGGAGGGCGACTCAAATGATCAAGGGTTTGGAGAACAAGCCCTATGAAGAGCGGCTTAAAGACCTGGGCATGTTTAGCCTGCAGAAGAGAAAACTGAGAGGAGACATAATGGCCATGTATACAGATGTGAGGGGAAGTCATAGGGAGGAGGGAACAAGCTTTTTTTCTTCTTCCCTGGAGACTAGGACGCCAAGCAATGGCTTCAAACTACAGGAAAGGATATTCCACCAGAACATTACGAAGAACTTCCATAAGGAGAACTGTTCAGCAGCGGAACTCTCTGCCCCAGCGTGTGGTGGAAGCTCCTTCTTTGGAGGCTTTTAAACAGAGGCTGGATGGCCATGTGTTGGGTTGTGCTTTGAAGGTGATTTTCCTGCTTCTTGGCAGGGGGTTGGACTGGATGGCCCACGAGGTCTCTTCCAACTCTATGATTTTATGAAATGCTTCATCCCTCCAAGGGTCAGCCACATTTGGGATCTCAACAAAAATATAGATTCAAGGCTTGGTTAGAGCAAATATCAGTTGCTTTAATAAACAGGAAAGTTACAGAAATCCTGGTGCAACACCGGATACACATGTTTCATGAAGCTTTTATACACATTTTAAAATGATGTGGAAGACCACACTTTATTTTCATTCTTCAGAGCCTGGATTATTTTTCGTGTCTGGACGTTTGATGTAATCTCTGTACATAGAATACAGAACGCCTAACAGAAAGAAAACACACGTGCTTGATTTCAATTGCTATTTCAGTATATCGTTCACAAGGTGTCAATCCATTCAAAGTCACTCTTTCGCACCTTAGCACAGGTAAATGGGCTGACATTGATAGTGGCAATAGTTTAGGAATAATGATAAAAAGCACAATGGAGACCTACATATAGCACGCTCTGGATGCTATGGGAAGATGTTACACAAGGATATGGGCAAGGGACAACATGATATACATGCCGTTACTGAAAATGGGTATATTTGAAAAGGCATCAACTTGTTCACTTACCAATGGTTATTGCACCAACGACAAATCCTTGTGCTGCCATTCTCATGTGGATGAGATGGACTGACATTTTTTGGCTTCCCCGATGCTTTAGTTTGTAAAGACCATAAGCCACAACAGCAAAGCAACCTGCCAGTCCTATATATTGAAAAGGAAGGGTAAAGATCAGTCTGAACATTTGACTCAGGCCATTATTTTATATAGTACAACACACTGTACTTCCTAATAGCAGCTACATACAATAATTAACAGACTGTTGGATGGTTAGATAGATAGATAATTTTAAAATTTGGTGCTGTGTTCTATGACTTGATGTAGCCAAGAGAGGAGATATTTTCCTTGTTTTTCACCCAAGAATTGTCAGAAACAATTAAGGCCCACCTACCCATGGATTAGTTGCTTCCCTGGATTCCTTCGTGATGCACCAAAACTGCTGGATGGCTCGACACAAGTAAGTTGGAGGGTTGGGTTTATATTCCTACTCAGACTTGAAACTCAACGGGATAGTTTTATATGCTTTTATGGCTTTAACTTGAATTGGGTTGCTGTGAGTTTTCTGGGCTGTATGGCCATGTTCCATAAGTATTCTCTCCTGACATTTCACCCACATCTGTGGCAGGCATCAGAGTCAGCTAACATCTCCCAACAAAGGATTCCCCCCAGCAGGAAGCAGCCAGGTTGTGAAGCTGCAAGGCCATTCAATGCTAATAAAGGTGGTCAATTATAACATTCACATCTGCCTCGGACAAGAGTTCTTTCTCCCACCCTGGACATGCCACAGATATATAAACCTCACTTGCCTAGTTTCCAACACTCTCTGAAGCTGCCTGCCATAGATGTGGGTGCAACGTCAGGAGAGAATGCTTCTGGAACATGGCCATACAGCCTGGAAAACTCACAGTAACCCAGTGATACTGGCCATGAAAGCCTTCAACAACACATTTAACTTGAATTGTTTTTAATATTAACGATGTTTAACGTTGTTTTAATATTTGTATATTGCATATTTTAAGTTGTATTGTAACATTTTTAATTGTGAGCCACTTTGCGTCTCTGTATGAAGAGAGAAGGTGGGATATAAATAATCTATATAAATAAAAATGTAATGTTCGTTTGTGGGATTAACAGAATTCAAAAACCACTGGACAAATTGACACCAAATTTGGCCACAAGACACCTACTAACCCAAGGAGCGACTATCACTCAAAAAAATTGATTTTGGCATTTGAAAGTTGTAGTTGCTGGGATTTATAGTACACCTATAATCAATGAGCATTCTGAACACTACCAATGATGGAATTGAACCAAATGTGGTACACAAGTCTCCCATGCCCAATAGAAAACACTAGAAGGGTTTGGTGGGCATTGACCTTGAGTTTGGGAGTTGTAGTTCACCTACATCCAGAGAGCACTGTGGACTTAAACAATGATGGATCTGAACCAAACTTGGCACGGATATTCCATATGCCCAAATATGAACACAGATGGAGTTTGGGGGGAATAGACCTTGACACTTTGAAGTTGAAGTTGCTAGGATTTATAGTTCATCTACAATCAAAGAGCATTCTGAACTCCACCAACGACAAAATTGGGCAAACTTCCCACACAGAACCCCCATGACCAATAGAAATTACTTAAAGCCATCCAGTCCAACTCCCTTCACCAGGGCAAGAAAACGTAATCAAAGCCCTCCCAACAAAAAGCCATCCAGCCATAGATATAAATAGATAGATATGATTCACACACAGAGAGAAACAACAACAACTATATTTCAATCTCTCCCAGCACAGAAAACTGTTCTCACAACTAACTACTATTAAGCAGAATAAGGCAACTAATTTTAGACGCTTTGAAGATGATTTTTTAATTTTCTTTGTCAGAATCTGACATCAGGGTTTGTGGGATTCTGTGCCCAAATACGACTCACTGTAAGTGAAGGAAAGAAAGACAGCCACTTGCTACAAACATGTCTTGAATAAGCCCTAGTTATTGTGACTATTAAGTGGTACAACTCCATGTTTGCTATACTCACCTCCTTGGTGTAAGGCTAAAATGAAAAGGTGGCTTTTAAAGGTCATATTTAAAGGGTTCATAATGTAAAGCCCCCAGTGGCACAATGGATTAAACCCTTGTGCTGGCAGGTTCGAATCTGAGAAAGCAGGTTGAGCTCCCTCTGTCAGCTCCAGCTCCCCATGCAGGGACATGAGAGAAGCCTCCAACAAAGATGGTAAAACATTAAACATCCAGTCATCCCCTGGGCAACGTCCTTGCAGACGGCCAATTCTCTCACACCAGAAGCGACTTGCAGTTTCTTAAGTCGCTCCTGACATGAAAAGAAAGTGACCTAATTACATTAATAACGCACTGGTTTACAAATACTAACAACTATATTTTAAAACAGTCATAGTGGGGGCTGCCAGTAGAGAAATTAGGGTCGACTATTGATGCAGCAAACACCAATTCTGAATGTTATATTCTTTGTAGCTAAATGTGTCATTTTTAGACCAATCTGATGTACGAGAATATATTTTAAAAGTCCATTTTGTAAGAACAAGGTTACTTAAAGTAATAATCAGTAAATACTAGTGCTGTTTCTTTCAAGGGGATGTGTCATTTTATTGACCAGGAGTTGGATTTTGCTTCCCAGATTTCATTTTAACCACAAGCACTCTGAGTTAATCAAGTGTTGCTCTGAAGTGACATCCAGGAGTGTTGTGAATGGTTTGCTCTTGAAAATAGGCCAGATAATGCAAAATTGCTTTTAGCCTCTTCATGTTTGATCCATAAATTCAATATAATGACATTTCATTTTTATCTTTTCAACTGTAACCATGGTCTGGGTAGGCAAACACTGTCTTTGCAGCCAGTTTAATTGACAACAGCGCATGCAAATTAAATGTGTGTTCGTGAGCACTGGGAGTGCAAATCACCTTAAATTCTGGAAAGGCTTCTGTTTTGACACAGATTTACTGAAGCTGATGAATGGGAAGGAAGATTAACGGAGGTTGAAAAGTACAAGGCATTTGCCTACCTCTCAATGAGGACACCTTTAAAAAAAAGTAACCTAAAGTGTGGAGAGCCAGTGTGATGTAGTGGTTGGAGAATTGGACTATGAATCTGGAGACTGGGGTTTGAATCTCTAGTTTGAAGCCCCTTCTACACTACCATATAATCCATATTATCAAAGCAGAGAATCCACATTAGCTGCTTTGAACTGGATTATATGAATATGCACTGCCATATAATCCGGGTAATAAACACATAAATATATTGCCAAAAGTCCCAACTGACCAAGGAGGAGATTTTCAAGGCCTCGCGAATGAGGCCAGTTAGGAAAACCGCACCAGACTGAGTCTCGGGCACGATTGTGCACTTCATTCTGGGAAATATAATTTAGCCCAAAAAGGTGAGTATTGGACTCTAGCACAGTGTTTCTCAACTTGGGGATTGGGACCCCTGTGGGGCCACCGAGGAGGTGTCAGAGGCGTCGCCAAACACCACTGGAAAACATGGTATTTTCTGTTGGCCATGAGGATTCTGGGTGAGAAGTTTGTTCCAATTCTATTGTTGGTGGGGTTCAGATTGTTCTTTGATTGTAGGTGAACTATAAATCCCAGGAACTACACCTCCCAAATGTCAAGGTCTATTTTCCCCCAAACCCCACCAGTGTTCACATTTGGCTATATTGAGTATTTGTGCCAAGTTTGGTCCAGATCCATCATTGTTTTGAGTCTAGAGTGCTCTCTGGATGTAGGCGAACTACAACTCCAAAACTCAAGGTCAATGCCCACCAAACCCTTCCAGTATTTTCTGTTGCTCATGGGAGTTCTGTGCGTCAATTTTGGTTCAATTCCATCATTGGTGGAGTTCAGAATGCTCTTTGATTTTATAAATCCCAGCAACTACAACTCCCAAATGACAAAATCAATCCCCCCAACCCCACCAGTATTCAGATTTGGGCATATTGGGTATTTAGTCCAGTGAATGAAAATACATCCTGCATATCAGGTATTTACATTGCGATTCATAACAATAGCAAAATTACAGTTATGAAGTAGCAACGAAATAATGTTATGGTTGGGGATCACCACAACATGAGGAACTGTATTAAGTGGTCACGGCATTAGGAAGGTTGAGAAACACTGATCTAGGGTTTAGAGGACTGTGTGTCCCACATTCATTTCTTAATCAACCTCCATCCTTAGCCCAGTGTTTTCTATATAGTAAATATGATAATTGATGGGAATGTACTCAATTTTATCCTCCAAACCTTCCTGGGATAATTTAAGATGAGCAGATTGGTCAGCCCAGGAGTATCACTAATTTTGATGTTTGAGACTAAGATCTTGGCCTCTCCAGAAAGTGCAGCTCTCTAGCCACTGTACCTCCTGCCACCTGAGTCCTTAGGAGTTCGTTCAGCTTACCTATGGGGACAAAGGGAGCATCCCGGGATTTTCTTGCAAGCTTCGAAGCTTGGCTATCCTCTTCACTCGGAGACCAGGACTCATCAGAAGACATCTCTCACGTCTGAAAATAAAAAAAGACAAATGCTGATAAAGATCAGAAATAATCAGATGTTTTGGGTTGGCAGAAAAGGCTGTGGACAACAGACTAGTCCACCATCCAATGTGGGACATATAATGTAGGCTCTGCTTCACTTGCTTTCAGACAAAACTACTTCTGGGCATTTACTGTGGAAGCATCCGTCCACAAATCAAATTGGATTTGCATATTATCCGCAAAAGATGAATATCACTTGTCTTAACGTTTGACTTCTAACAAGCTCACACCATTCTAGACTAGTGGTTTTCAAGTGGTCTCTATCTTCATACAGATTCACAGGTGACATCATTTTTACCTTTTCAATAAGGTTCTGGTGCACTGGAATTTCCAATAGATTATGGACTTCCCAATAAGGAAAATTCTGTGCTGGAACACAAGTGTACATTTTTCTTTGAGGATTTTTCTCAGCCAATGAATCCCAGCTGTTTAGCCTCCCTTTGGCTTCTTTCCATTACCAAGTCTAGACCTTTTCCCTTAAAGCCTTAAATATACTTTTAATTTACTTTCAAATGTATATACACACTTTGGTACACTGGAAAGTTTCTAAACTTATTGGAAATTGTTTTTATCCTGTTTAAACTATTTTATTGTTTCAGCCTGGAATAGCTTTACATCTGGTATTGCTCTATCAGTACATCAGCTTGAAATCTCATGATAAAGGGTGGGATATAAACATTTTAATTAATAAATAAATATGAGAATCCTGGGGCCAAATGAAGCTGTTGCAGATTTGGGAGACCATATATTATAAGGAAAGTTTACTCATATTTGATCTGTTTGGCTTATAAAAGAGACATCGGACCAGCAGAATGGGAAGTACAGACAATTCCCGAGTTACAATTAATTAATTGATTAACAGTATTTATATTCTGCCCTTCTCACCCTGAAGGGGACTCAGGGCGAATCACAGAACACATATACAGCTGTTTATACACTGACAAGACAGACAATTATACATAGAGGTATATATAGGCGTTTCCCATCTTTGGCATCTTGGAGGCTTGTGCTCAGTTCTGGCCACTGGTGTGTGTGTGTGTGTACATATGTTGTTGCTCCACTTTCCCTGCTGAAGAGCTTTGTTCGTAAACTTCTTCCTTGATAAAATTGCCAGCATTTTTCTGGCATTTCCTTATCAGTGCCTTACATTCCTCCCTGTTTAAGCAGGACCTATTTATCTACTCACATTTTGCTTTCGAACTGCTGATAGGCAGAAGCTGGGCTAAAAGCCAGGAGCTCATCCTGACCCAGGCTTCGCACTGTCAACCTTTCGATTGGCAAGATTTACTGCAGCTGGCGGTTAACCTGCTGTGCTAAAGCCTGACTTACAAATAACAACAACAACAACAACAACAACAACTTTATTTATACCCCACCACCATCTCCCCCAAGGGGACTCGGGGTGGCTTACATGAGGCCAAGCCCAACAAAATACATCAGTAAAAACAGCAAAGCCAGCAAGCAAGTAAAACACAATACAAATATCATAAATAGCATATAAACGGTAACACATAAGAGATTTAAAACACTGTGGGCAGGGCCGGATGTAGTAGATTAAAAATTTTAAAATACTGGGCATGACAGCAATAGGATATCTAAATGGGGTTTTAGAGGGTAATGTAGGGAAATTATTCCAACGGGTAGATAAAGTGCTTGCAGAAAATTGGTCAAATCAGGACATTATTTCCTGTATTCAGGGAAGCCACGTTTTCAAACTCCTCCTAAAGACTGCCAATGTGGGATCTTATCTGATATCCTTGAGGAGTGAGTTCCAGAGTTGGGGGGCCACCATAGAGAAGGCTCTCTCCCTTGTCCCCACCAGTCGGTCCTGTCAAGGGGGAGGGAGCGAGAGCAGGGCCTCTCCAGATGATCGAAGAGATCACGTGGGTTCGTAAACAGGAATGCGGTCACACAGGTAGGCAGGTCCCAAACCGTTCAGGCTTTGTAGGTCAGAACCTGCACCTTGAATTGGGACCGGAAAATGAATGGCAGCCAATGGAGCTCCTTAAACAGGGATGTAGACCACTCCCTGTAAGTCACTTCAAATGACTCATACTTAAGAACAGGGGTGAGACAACAGGATGTGAGAGAAAACTACTCCTTGGAAGGGGAATTCACTCTTGGAAGAATTATCATGGGGAAAAGGTGTCTCCACTGAGGCTTTCTCACCAAATCTTGTTTCCACAACAACCCATAATTTTCAAAATCCAAATATCTCAGGGAGAGAAAGTGGGGTGAAATCATCTGAACAGGGGCACAGATAGCAAAATAATCACCACAGGGGTGTTAACCCATCCTTATGCTATCAAAATGTACCTGTTCCAACTTACAAACAAATTCAACTTAAGAACAAACCTACCGAACTGATCTTGTTCGTAACTTGAGGACTGCCTGTATAAATATTTAAAAGGTTGTCACATTTTTTTTCCATTGCCACCCTCCACACCTCACATTTTGCTAATGTTACAAATACATCCAAGAGCAGAATATTTTATTGCACCATATTTCCTCCATCCAGACTTGTTCTTAATTGCTTTTTGTATGAAGACCTATCAATCTAAAGCAAATGGTTGCTCTGAAAGGGTTATAAATAGTGAATGTGGTTTATCTCTTGTTTTCATACAGGGATTTATATCCCAACTTACTCTCTACGAAAAAGGGGGCGTATGTCAAAGAAAACATTTTTCTAAATTGCAAAACAACAACAACCAAAAACAACCCCATAATCAATCCATAGTAAAGCACACTATTAACTATGACAGCAAAGCACAGGGAAGGCCAAATGTCACAAAGGATCCTATATATACTATGGTATTGTATGCTATTTACAAGATTTGTGTTTGCACATGTCATGTGCATTTATTTCCTAGTAGCTGTACCCACCACGCGTTGCTGTGCCAAACCTTCCCTCTTTCTCTCCTTCTTTCCCCCATTCCTTCACTCCCTCTTTTCTTCCTTCCTTCCCGTCTTTCCTTATCTTCTTCCTTCCTTCTCTCTTTCCTTCCTTCCCCTTTTTTTCTTCTTCTGCTGTCTCTCTTTTCTTCCTTCTCTCTTTCCTTCCCTCCCTCTTTCTCTATATATTCCCCCTTCCTTCGCTCCCTCTTCCCTTCCTTCTTTCCCTTTTTCTTTCCTTCTCTCCTTCCTTCCTTCCTTCTCTAACTTGTCTTCCTTTCCCCTTTTTCCTTTCCCTGCYTCTTYCTCTCCTTCCTTCTTTCTCTCTTTGCTTCCATGCTTCCTTCTCCCCTTCCTTCCTTCCTTCCTTCCTTCCTTCCTTCCTTCCTTCTTTCTTTTYCCCCTCCCTCTTTCTTTTCTTTTCTTTTCTTTCCTTCCTTCCTKCCTGCCTGCGCTCTTCCTTCCTTCCTTCCTTCCTTCCTTCCTTCCTTCCTTCCTTCCTTCCTTCCTTCCTTCCTTTCAGTCTTTCAGTCWKTCTTTCTTTCTTTCTTTCTTTCTTTCTTTCTTTCTTTCTTTCTTTCTTTCTTTCTTTCTTTCTCCCCTTCCCTCCCTCTTTCTTCCCTTTTTTCTGTATTGTCATTTAGTTTTTCGTCATTTAGCTTTTTGGGGCTTTTTAAGTCCCTTCTGCTGTTTTTTTTCCAGTATTTTTATGACATTCATTGGATTGTTAGATGTATTGTGTCCAAATTTTGTGTTAATTTGCCCAGTGGTTTTTCAGTTCTGTTAATCCCACAAACGAACATTACATTTTTATTTATTTAGCTGTATACTACTGTATATGATACTGTGGTATTGTTAATTGAAAACAAAAAATAAAGGTGTTGTTAACCACCGGAAACCCCTTTGTGATGTTTGATTCACCCTGTAGAAATCCAAAGAACCAAATATGGTGATCAAGAAATAAAATGAAGTGATAATGGAATGAAACCTTCGGTCAGACCGAAAAGCCTTCAAATGACATTGAGTCTGCTTTTTAATCCAGTTCAATGCAGGTAATCTGCATTCTGAAATGGGATCATATAGAATCATTGAGCTGGAAGAGACCTCATGGGCCATCCAGTCTAACCCCCTGCCAAGAAGCAGGAAAATCACATTCAAAGCACCCCTGACAGTTGGCAGTATAGATTCAGCCTTAGGGTTATCCTAACTCAGGCCCCATCTATACTGCCATATAATCCAGTTTCTGTATCCAGATTATCTGATTAGAACTGGATTTTATGAATCTACACTACTATCTAATCCAGTTAAAAGCAGATAATCTGGGTTCATAATTTGGATTATATGACAGTGTAGATCCAGCCCCAGAAATCACTTGAAGGTACACAAAAACAAACCATAAGTGTTAGTCTTAAATCGTAATTGATATTATTTGGATTTCCTGCCAGCTGTTTATGCCTTATATTACAGAGTGGAGTAGACTTCTCAAAAACTTGTTCCCAAATTAAAAATACAGTACTGTTCCATAAAATATTCACCATGATCTTGTGTTTCCAGAAACAAAGCCCCCTTCTACACTGCTATATAAAATCCAGATTTTCTGCTTTGGATTATATGACAGCGTAGATTCATATAGTTCAGTTCAAAGCAGATAATGTGGATTATCTGATTTGATAATCTGGATTATATGGCAGTGTACAAGGGACCTAAAAGGCAGAATATGCTGATTTTCCGAGGTCTTACTCATTTTTCAGATTCTATTTTACAATCTTTCTCTAAAGTTGTTTTTGGTCTTTCATTCACAACCACAAAACAGAGAGAATAAATATATGGAAAACTGAAACATAGATCTTATCTGCATAAAGAAATAGCATTTCTATAGCTGCCTTATTAACATTTTGAATGACTGCATTATACAAACAGAATCCAGTAAAATCGAGTATTAAATAAACATCTCTTGTACAATGACTGCCTTTCTACCAATCTCTTTACCTGAGCCATCAATCTTTAATTTTCCTAGACATTTTAACTTTTAAAAATTATGATCAAAAATAGTTGCATTACCTTTG